CGATGTAGTGATGTGGCCCCTGTGAAGTGCCTACACATGCTCCAGTAGACCGTCCGATACCCGTGCACATGCAGACAGTACTGAGTGGACTCAGTGGGCTAAAAAAAAAAAAAAAAGCACATGAAGTTGGGAGGGAAAAGTGGTGGGGGGGGTTAAAGGAGGTATTGGGGAAAATAGATGGTAAATTTGATCAAAACACATTGTATACATGTATGAAATTCTCAAACATTAAAATATTAACAATAAAAATATGAAAGCAAAAGAAAAAAATCCTTTAAAATCTATTTTTATTGAGTTTTTGTGAATTTCTTACAATACACTTTGGTCATGTTTAGAACCCCTCTTCATAACCCCCCCACACCAGATTTCATGTATTCTGTCATATATGTTAAGGCCCATCAAGTCAAATGTGTATGTCCCCAAATATCCCTTGGTGTGAGTCCATCCACTGGAGCCTGGTCAGCCTATCTAGTGTCACTCCTTTAAAGAAAACCAACTCTCCCTCTCCCAGTAGAAATCGGTTGCCAATAGTTCCTTAGCTAAGGTTGGGGATTCTTACCTATTTTCCTACTTCTATGCTGGGTTTTTGTCTGGTTTGACTTTGCATGAGACTTGTGCATGCTGTCACCATTGCTGTGAGCTCATGTGAGAAAATTCCCAGCTGCCGGGAAACTCCGTTTCCTTGTGGCCATCCACCTCCCCTGGCCCTTACAGTCTCTCCACCCTTCCACAATGGCCCCTGAGCCTTGGGTGGCAGAAGTTTGATATAGGAAATCTTAAACTAATATCACAATGACCTTTTATTGTTTTTGCAAAAGCAAGGAATGAATTTCAGGAAGAATTTTTTTTTTAATTCTAGTAGGTTCGTTTTGAGTTATATCTGTATCTGAATTGAAAAATAAAAGGACAGTTTGAAATCTACCACGAGGATGGGCAGTTCTTTCCATGGGATTCTCTCAAAGCAGAGGCGCATACTTTGAGAAGTTCATAGATACCTTCAAGTCTAAGGTTCATCTCAAATAGACAGAGAGGTTCTATGGTGAGATCATTTGATAAAAGAAACTTTGATCCTTTTCTTTTGAGGTATTTAAGGAAACTTAACTTTTAGAATTAGCTCCTCAACAAACAAAAAAGCTTAGTGGAGTCAACATCTAAATCAACTCTCCAGGAGGCAGCTGAAACTTGAGTCATGAATACAGAGAAATGAGGAGTGGCAATGCTCATCACAGGAGCCATAGCACACCTTCCAAACTTATGGGGAAAGACAGCTGTGGTGGTTTGAATGAAAATGTCCCTCATAGGTTCCAAGTACTTAGACATTTTGTGACCAGTTGGTGGCGCTGTTTTGGGAGGTCTTAGAAGGTGTGGCTAGCCTGGAGGAAGCCCATCACTGGGGGCAAGCTTGGAAAGTTCTTAAGCCTTGCCAGATCTAAAGTCACTCTCTTGCTTCCTTTGCCTACTTGAAGATGTGAGTGCTCTGCTTTCTGCTCCTGCTCCTGCCACCATGCCTCTTTGCTATGATGGACTGTAATTTCCCTGGAACATACTGTAAGCTCAAATAAACTCTTCCTTCTATAAGTTGCTTTGGTCAGTGTTTCTATCATAGCAACAGAAAAGTAACTAATACAGTAGCTAAGGACTGGATTTTGAAAGTGACCCCTCAGCAATAGAAGAGAAAGTGTAAGGAAAATAAGGTCACAGAAAATTTTGTGTACTCTCTTAATTTTTATAGATTTTCTTGGCACTTTCCTTCTGTCTACTCACTGACTGGGTTGGATCCTTGTGAGAATAGTCTCATTACAATAGAGGGTAACAGGACTGGGACAACAGCTCAGTCAGTAAAGCACTTGTTGCACAAGAATGAGAAACTCATTTGATCCCCAGAATCCAGGTAAAAAGCCAAGCATGGCAGCATGTGCTTTTAATTCCAGTGGAGCTAAGTGAATCCCTGGGTTCACTGCACAGCCAGCCTAGCCTAATCAGTGGATCCCAGGTTCAAGTAAAAGACCCTATCTCATAAAACAAGGTATATTTGGGGGGGCTCCTGAAGAATGGCACTCAAGGTTGATCTCTGGCCTCCACGTGGAGAGAGAGAGACAGAGAGAGAGACAGAGAGATGGGGGAACAAAGGTGGCTCTTGGGAAGTTTAAGAAGGAAAACATGGGAGAATATGGTTGTTGGCGCACACTGCTCTGAAGGAGGACAGAAGTGAGGCTTGAGAGTAAATGGGCCACAGGATCAAGACAAACCTTCCTACAGGCTGGAAAGAAGTTCTGTACATTTTAGATAGCGCAGAAACAGCCAAAAACCTTGAAGACTTAAACAAAACTGAAGTACGACTTTCCTGTTGGTTTGGAGGAAAACAAAAAGAGATGTTGCAGGAAGGGAAACACTATGTGCTGCTTTTCAAGTGAAGCTATGAAAACAAACTCACTTGCATTCTATTATTTTATTGGTTGCTCATTTTCAATTAAAGGTCAGTAGTTCATTAGGCAGCTTGTTAACCTGCTTAGAATACATGAAGATTCTGTGTTTGATCCAGAATCTAGAGTCTTCATAAATACCTGAGATGTTTCTAATGCTGATGACCCAGTATAACAGCCTGAACCTGGACTGTCCCAGGCAGGCTCCTGTTCTGAGCACTGGTCCCCAACTGGTGGTGTTATTTTGGGGAGGTTTTGGAAACTTTAGGGGACAGGATCTGGCTGAAGGAAGTAGGTCACTGAGGCTTGCCCTTTGAAGGTTGTACCTGCCCCCCTCCACTGTGTCACACTCTCTGTTTCCTGCCTGCCCTGTGATAAACATCTTCTACCACATTCCTGCTGCCACCATGTTCTGCCTCACCCCAGGCTAAGGGATCAGGGTCTAAAACTTACGAGCTCATAAGCCAAAATAAATACTCCTTTCTTTTATGTTGTTTTTCTTAAGTATTTATCACAGCTATCCAAAAGTAACTAATACATCAGTTTAAAAAATACATCTTTGGGCCAGTGAGATGGCTCAGTAGGTAAAGGCACTTGCCACTAAACCTGATGATTTGAGTTAAGTCCCCAGTCCCCTCATGATAGAAGGAAAGAGCCAACATCTTGCCACTTGACCTCTTATCTCCATACATGTTTGTGGTGTGCTTCTCAACCCAGTAAATAAATGTAAAAAATAACAAATAAAAATATGTCTTTGTAGAACATGTGTGATTTTTTTGCTTTTTGAAGAGATGTAGATAGGAACAAGTTAGAGGCCTGACAGCGAGCAGCTTGTATAGGAAAGACTATATAAATAAAAATTTCTAACCAGCACTGAGCACTAACAAGTTGAAATTAGCATTATGGACCACATCTGCCATCACCAAGAGGAAGTGTTCTAGACACACATCAAGACCATGGTCAGCTGTTTGTTTTTCTTTTTGGTTGCTTTGATATCCAATGTCAAGGAAATATCTGAAGTTGGCTACAGTTTCAGTGGCAAGTTGAAATTTCATATTATGGAGAGAGTCACTCTAGGAATATCTTAATTATATCTTCAGTTCTTGATAGTGACAAAGGGAAAAACCTTCAAAGGTGTCCCATGGACCTCACAACACCGTGCAATCTCTGGGATGTTTCCTAGACCTTGTAGGTGTGAGTTAATTAGAATATAAACAGAAAGTCGGACATTAGGGTAGGGTAAAAACCAAGCTGTTCATGGGGGCTAGAGAGATGGCTCAACCGCTAAGAGCACTGGCTGCTCTTGCAAAAGACCCAGGTTCAAATTTCAGCACCCACATGGTGGCTAATAAGTCATAACTCCAGTTCCAGGGAATCCGACGCCCTCTTCTGTCCTCCATGGGCACTGCATGACATGGGTACACTTACACACATACAGGCATAACACTCATACACATAAAATAAAAATAAATTTTAAAATATTTTTAAAAAAGGATGTCAGATCCTCTGGAACTAGAGTTATAGATAGTTTTTAGTTGTCAAATGGGTGCTGGGAACTGAACCCTGTTCCTCTGCAAGAGCAGTCAGTGCCTTAACTGGTGAGCCATCTCTCCAGTCCCCATATCAAAGACTTTTTAAAGAATTAAACTTTACTTTTAATTTTATCCTGTTCCTGTGCTTCTCCTTGATCTTTTGCTGTTGTTGTTTTAAGTAGCTGAGACGTGCCCTTGATGACAGGTACAAAAAGGTATCTTCAACTAAACAATTTTCAGTAATAATTATTTATGATGAATTAGGCATGTATTTAGCTTAACTTGAGCCTTGATTTTAAAATTCTGTAATCTTTCTTGTAATTCTATCAATACTGGATAGTTTAAGGTTCTTTTATGCTATTGACATTGAATAATCTTGAAAGTGTTAATAATTAATATAAATTTTTTTGGTCTTTCTGACACAGGGTCTCCCTGTAGTCCTGGCTGGTCTGGAACTCTCCATGTAGATCAGGCTGGCCTCAAACTCACAGAGATCCACCTATCTTTGCCTCCCAAGTGCTGGGATTAAAGGTGTGCACCATCCATCATGCCTGGCAATAATTAGTAAAAACTTGATTCCAAGGAGGTTTTATCCTGGGCCAACAAGATGACTCAGTGGGTAAAGGGGCTTGCCTTCAAGCCTGATGGTCTGAGGCCAAGCCCCTTCACTCCAGGACCAATCCCTGGGACCCACATGATGGAAGGAGAGCACCAACTCCTCCTACAAATTGTCCAAATTTTCCTCTGACCACCACACACATGCAAAATAAATAAATAAATAAATAATGTCTATAGATTTAGTATAAAAAAATCATACAACTGTAATGATTAAGCATATCACTGAAGTGAAATTTTTATAAAAATCTCAACTGTTGCTTAAATCCAGCTCTTCTCTTTGAATTAACTTGAAAGTTAAATCAAATTTTGTTAAATTTTAGGTAATATGTGCCTTCAAGAAATTTATCTCTTTAGAACAAAAAAGTACTTCCATTGCTTAATCTTGTATTGAATACTTTATTAATTTTTCCAATTTTTGTTTGTTCAGAGTCGTATGTTATGAGAACATCAATAAAGAGGACTACTACACTATTAGCCAAAGGGCAGTGACCCACGTCTACAATGATGACATTGAATTCATTGAAATTGAGCGATGGGAACAAGAGTATCTGTACCACAGAGAACTCACCAAGATCCCCATATTTTCACTTTTCCGGAAATGGAAGGCTTTTAACGTGTGGAAGAAGAATGTCCGCTCCAAGAAAATCACTGGATGTCGAAAAGCGCTACAAAAAAATCTGTTTATTGTCAATCCTGTATGTATTTATGATTCGTATTTTGAAAGAGTTAGAGGGAAAGAACGTGTGAGTCTATTACAGGCCCTGGTATAGAAATACCTGACGTGGAATACTGCATCTTGGTCAAAGCATTCACAACTTTCCCCTGCCTTATCACTTAGCAATCTAGTCATCTCAGTGGTGCTTCTGCATGTTTTTAAAAGTGTTTTATTTATTTATATTTTATCTGTGTAAGTGTTTTACCTACATGTATGTTAAGTGCACCTATGTGTGCCACACCCAGGAAGGTCAGAAGAGGGTGTCAGATCTCCTGGAACTGGAGTTACAGACAGGTATTAGCCACTGTTTGGGTGCTGAGAACCAAACCCATGGCCTTTGCGAGAGCAGCCAGTGCTCTTAAACAGTGTCATCTCTCCAGGCCCCGTGTTTCCATATCTTACCTAGAGTTGTAAATGCAGACGTGTAAGAAGACAGCTGCACTGGTCTCCCGTAATTAGAAGTAGCTTAGAAATTTTAGATTTGCGATTCTACTTTTTTGTTGCTTAGACAAGCTGACCGACCTTTTGCGTACAGTGAATTTGCCAACTGTTATGATCATCTCCCCTCATCTTTAAGACACTCTGGATTCTTATGGTCCAAAATAATTTGAGACTTGTTTTCATGAGCCATTACCTCCTAGAATATAATATGTGCCCCTCTACCCTGGATTCAGAAGGAGGAGAAAATCCAAGTGTTTACTTTGGATGATAGCGTGATCATAGAAAGAGAACTGTTAAAGGATGTGTAGCCATATTTAAACTCAACCTACTGAATTTAAACTTGAATTCCAAATCTTATACTTCACCCTGTGGGAATAAACTGAAGTTGTCATTTCCTTCATGCTCAAAGGACTAGGTCCTCAGCTGTCTATTTCTTTAAAAAAATTGTTCTTTGACCATTGTATACACATATAGAGCATTTTAGCTGTTTCTACCCATATTACCCTCTCTCATCCCCTCCCTCTTCTCACAAAGCCCTGCTTCTCCCCGAGAAGACACCCCGCCAATTTTCGTGTCTTTTTGTGTGTGCATGTGACTCACTGACTATAATTAAGGTCCCTTGCACAGGCATGGAGGTTATTTACTGGATCATGGATTACTTTTTAGTGGGGGTCCCACTGATGAAAATGACACCCCTCCTCCAACAACCATTTGCTGTCAATGGTCTCTAGGGCAGGAGTAGGATCTCCTGCACCCGTCCTTCATCCATAATGAATTGTCGACTGGCCCAATCTTGTTCAGACATCAGTTATCTATTTCTAAGACACTAAACACTGTGCCCTCAGGTCAGAAGTCACAAGTCACAAGTTTGCTCTTTCCTTCTCTTTGCTCTGATAATTGGAGATAGTTTCATAGGCATGCCAGTCATATAATAAAGGAGCTTTCAGGGACTAAGATTAATAAAGTATCAATGCAAAATAAATATGTAGGATGTGTCATTTCAAGTCATCTATTCCATTGAACATTTTGAATTGTGGAAAAATACCCCAGACCTTGACATCAAATCAAACCCAACACCTCTAATTTCATAGAGGATTAATTGTCATTTGAACTTGGTTTACCATGCTTAAGCACTGCATAGATCACAATTATTAATCATTCAACATCTTCCTTGATTTGTCTTTTTTTTTCTTCAAACAGAGCCTCCCTGAGGCCCCAGATGGCCTGGAACTTGCTATGTAGACCAGGCTGTCCTTGATCCCATAGAGATCTGCCTGCCTACCTACCTGCCTACCTCTGTCTATGCTGCCACACCCAGCTTGATTTCTCTTTTAAATGATCTCTCCCAAGTTTCAAATCCTCTTATTGCTGAAAAATTGTCATTCTGCTACTAGTGTTTTTGTCATGATAGTTTAAATTTGTTCCTCGCTTCCTAGAAAGTTCTCATCTTTTTAAATTTTTATCATATTTACTTATTTTGTGTGTTTGTGTATTTGTGGCTACATGCCTGCTATGACACATTTGTAAAGGTCAGAGGAAACTCATGGGAGTTGGTTCTTCCCTTTCACTATGTGAGTCCGTGGGGTTAAACTCAGGTCATCAGGCTTGGTGGAAGGCTCTTTTACTTGCTGAGCCATCTTGCTGACCCTGAAATTTTCATTTTATGATTTTAAAGAAGTAGCCAACATTATCAGCTTCTGTTCCTATATTCATATTCATATTCTTGCTATGTATTCACCCATCTATAATATATACTTTAGTGATTTTTAATGTGTTCACAGAATTGACTAATCATTGCCACAGTCAATTTTAGCACATGTCCATCACTCCCAAAAGAAGCTCCATTGCCTGTAAATACTCATTCCCAAATTCCCCCCAACTCTCCTGTTTCCCCTCCCCTCAGCCCCCAACATCTACTTTCTGTCTACTTTCCATAGATTTTCTTATTGTGTGCAGGTCACACAAATGGAATTAGGAAATATGATTGGCATTTTATACTTAATGTGCTGTTTTTAAGGTTCATCTGTGTTGTAAAATAGCATCTGTTTCATTAGCCAACTGCATTTCTTTGTGTAGTTTTACCTGTTTTCTTTGTCATTTGTTTGTAGATATTTGGAATATTTTCATTTTGGCAATTATGAATAATCCAGTTAGAAGCAGTCATTTATAAGTGATTTTTCGAAGCACAAGTTCTCATTTCTCTTGGGCATAGTCTTAGGGATGGAGTTACAAAGTCACTGGTAACTCTATGTTTAACTTTTTGAGAAAACATAAAACAATTTCCAAAGTAGATTGTTAACCATAAAACTTTAAAGTCAAATTTAGCTTTGCTCTATGCCATCGCCTTTTAGATTAATAAGTGATCCTGTCTGTGAGCATTGTAACTGGGCATTGTAAAGTCTTTTAGTAGCCATTAGCCAAAGCTAATAAAATTTAAGATGCCCAGCTTTCGGTTAGTTGCCCTCAATTTTATTCATTAGATAGTTGAAAAATATGCATACTTTCTGAAAGTGAAAAGAAAGAGATATAGAGAAATTAAATCTGAACGTTCAAATAATTCTTTGAGAAAAGTGTTCTGAAGAATTCCTATTTAATGTTTGATTTGGTGCCCATAGTGCAAGTTACCATTCACTTAGAACCTTTACTAACCATTTTTGCTTTCCCTGCATTTTTATAATTTTAAACTACAGAACTTTAAAAAAAAAGTAAATAATGGTGAATTCTTATTTTCTTCTAGTATTTGCGACCAGCTCTTCTTAAAATAAACGAACTGTGTTATCAGTTAAGCTTTATGGGACTTTGTTATATTGAAAAATGTCACACCTACACCCTGCAGGAATTTAAGGCTGTGCAAGTTGTACGACTACAACAGGTAAGGCATTTTGTTGGTAAGGATGAAGATTGCTTTCCTACCAGAGACACTTTGGTATCACTAATTGTATATATCTATATATATCCAACAATGTCTAGGTGACAGAGCGCCTAGAAGAATTCCGAAATGAGGCAAAAGACGTGGTCAGGAAGTCTTGTCGATTCGCTTTGCGTGCTGCAGGCTTTATTCCAGATGACTGTGTATCTGAACCTTATGAGGGTATGACAGGCAAGGACCGGGATGTACCCAAAGTGGCAGCTTTCTAAAATACTATCTCTTCTTTATTCCCACTTTTCAATTTAAACAACCATTGTCTTTTTCTCTTGTTCCAAATTTCTGCTTGATCTTCTCTGAATTCCATGTGTTCTGTGAGAGAGGTTGCTACGGCCCTCCCGCTTGCATCTACTCTTCCTACTATGGACACAGAATCTTAGTCCAAAAGCACCTGGTGCAAGATCGGCCAAGACCGGACTCATCAACTGTCCATCATGGAGATGGCTCAGAGGTTTAAGAGCCCTCGGCTGTTCTTGCAGAAGACCTGGGTTTGAGTCCCGGTACCCACATAGTGGCTAACAACCATGCATAACTCCAGTTTCAGGGGATCCGACGCCCTCTTCTGACCTCTGTGGGCACTGCGTGACATGGATGCACTTACACGCATGCAGGTTTAACACTCATACACATAAAATTTTAAAAAGAGAATGAGTCAAACACAGGTGCAAAGGAAGGAAAGGTTCCTGGAAGGGGCCATAGTGATAGTCAACACACAATAGTTAACAAAAATGTAAACTGTGAACTGTCTACCACATTTTTTTGCATTGAAATTGATTGATATAAAATTCTTTGGGATAAATGGTCTGTTTTCTGGGGCTCTGAATTGTTTCACAAACTGAAAGATGTTGTTGCTTTGTGTTTTGATTTTTCTTTGAATTCATATTGAAAGAAATGGAATTTTTACACCAGACTCGTGTCTCTTGTTGTCCTTAGATTATTTTAAGATAAACATTACAAGTTTTGATTTGGAAGCTCCGTTTGATTTGCCCACTTACAGAGACTCTGAAAAAATGACGTACACAGAACAGGCCAGTAAAAGACATCACTGCACAAGGCTCACCTGGTAAGTGCTTATTGTTTCAGGAAAAATTAGAAGATCCATCTTTCTCAAGACATTAAAATCTAAACCCTGATCTGGGGAACTGGCTAAGTGGGTAAAGGGTTTGTCCCACAAGCTTGATCACCTGAGTTTGGATCCCTAGAACCTGCGAATAACATAGATGCAGTAGCAACCAAATCTGTAACTGCACTGAGCCCTTATAGGGGAGATGGGAGACAGACGGGAGAAACCCTGGAAGTTGCATAGGGCCACGCTAGCCTGGCACATGCAGCGAGAGAGACCCTGTCTCAAACAAGGCAGAAAGTGAGGACTGACACTGGAGGTTGTCCTCTGATCACCACACACATCACAGCAAAAACACACCAGCACACCAGGACATACACTCCCCATACTCCCCCACCCCCCTAACCCCAAAAAAACCCTAAACCCTGGAAGGAGAGGGATATGTTAATGTGCATGACTGGAATTTCATTTCCATGCCGAAGTATTTTTGTGTGCAGTTTAGTTATAGATAATAAAATTTAAACACAGAATTCTTTTGGGCTTGAGAGATGGCTGGACAGTTAAGAACACTGACTGTTCTTGCAAAAAATCCTGGTTCAAATCCCAGCACCCACATGGCAGCTAACAACTGTCTGTAACTCCGGACTGTCTGTTCCAGGGGATCCGACAGCCTCTTCTGTCCTGCATGGGTGTTGCGCTACACGGGTGCATTTACTTACATGCAAGCACAACACTCATACACATAAAATAAAAATAATAAGAAAAAACAGAATTATTTCTAGGAAATAAATCTCCATCTCTCTTTTTAAAATATAAACTCTTCACTACAATGTTCACCAAAAAGAATTTGGAGGATCTGGTACTCTGAATACACACCCCCACACACACCAGAAAACCACTCAACTGCCACCCAGCAGGCAGTGCAGCTTCTGGGAAAGGAGAATGGTGGACACTGGAGTGTGAGTTCAAGGGCAAGAGCTCCTCTAGCCTGGAGCCTAGAGACCAGCAGTAGAGTGAGCTATGGTGCCACACACAGCGTTATGGACCTCCTTAATCAGGTCAAGGGGAGAACCTGCTCCATCCTTTTGGTTAATAAACTGTAGAACCACATAAGGCTCTACCCTATCCCTAAGGCAGGTTTTACAGCTAGGAGCCAGGGACAAAGTCTTCCTCCTAGGGCCCACCAAGGGACTCTCTATTGTTAACATTCTTTCTGCCACCTGCTTATCCACTGGGTCTTGACCTTAACTATTTTCAGAGTTTAGAGTTCTTATCATGGTTACAAATAACTCTTACACATAAAATCACCAAACATCTGAAAAGTTGTCTGTGAGCATTCAGTGCTTCCTAACTTTAATTTTATTGTTTAAGAGTTTCTGCATGCATGTAATGTCCTTTGATCAACTCCACCCTAATTCCCTCCCCTCCAACTCTTCCTCTAATCCCCTACTGCCTTTCCCTCCCAACTTCATGGGCTAACTTTTTAAGCCACTGAGTCCACTGTATGTACATGTGTGTAGTAACATCTGCTGGAGGACCACTAGCCTCTCAGGCGCTACATCCTTGAAGAAAATCGACTCTCACTCTTTCAGAAATTAGTAGCTAATTAGTAGTAGTCTCAGTAAAAGTGGGACTTTGTGAGCCCCCTCTCTTGTCCATGCTCAAATTTTGGCTGGCTTGATCTTGTGCAGATCTTGTACTTGCAGTCACAGCCACTGTGAATTTGTGTGGCAATGGTCCTGTCATGTCTGCAGTTACTGATTTGCTACAGAAGTCTATTACTTCTGTCAATCTTTCTGCCCCCTCTTCCACCATAATCTCTGGGTCTTCAGGGGAAGGGGCATGATATAGATGCCCCACTTAGAGTTGTAGTGCTTCCTACTTTAACCCAACAATTAAAAGCATCTATTTATAAGTCTTGATTATGTGCTAGTTTATATATGGAAATGTCTGTGTAGCAATAAAAATCATTGAAACAGTTTCCAAGGCCACCATCAAGGCCCAAGAGTTTAAACAGAAGAGTTACTCTAAATGTGTCTTCTTAGCCTGCTATCTAATCACTGAAGAAAGGACACAAAATCAGCGCCTTGGGGTTAACAACTGCTATCAAGCAATATTCAGCAGCAATGATTTCATATTTGTACCAGTAGGATGTAAGTTAGAAATACTGTGTGTATGGAATTTTTCTTTAAAGTGTCTCTGAAGAACTCGTATGGCTCCTTGACTAGGTGAGCTGGACGTGTTTTCTGCCACACCTACATTGTGTGTCAAATAGCCCCTGGAAAATCAGAATGCCTAGCTAAATTTGTGTTTTCAAGGGAAGAATGTCTAAGAACAACTTTTCTGAACAAGAAAAACCTGACTTAATAAAACTAGACAAAAAATCAAGGGGAAATTGTGATATTTTAAATTTAAAAACTTGGCTAGGGTTGCTATGAAACATGGATGGTGGTCAGAGAAAACTGAGAAAATTTGCCTTTCTCTTTTCAAGCTTCATCCGTCTGAATGATTACCTGATTCAGAACACCCTACATGTCTTAACAGTAAATGCTGCCAGCTTCCTTTTGAGTTTTCTCTCTGACAAACTGAAACGAACGCCCTCAGCAGATGTCATTCAGAAGTGGATGACTGAGGAGAAGCCCGAAGTCGTCGACAAAAAGGTACATCCAGACAAAATTGAATCTCGGTGTTCACTGAGGAGCAACCACCACATCTGAATCACATTATTTCCTATATGCTGAGAAACAGAAAAGTCTCTATTTGAATATGAAATATTTGTTATTATATGTGTCACTTCTATTGAGGATATCAACTTCTTTTCTACTTAAATGTTACCAATCTCCCTCCTGCTAATATGTTTTCCCAGTTTATTTGCATTTCCATTTTTACAAAGAGGCTTTTACATTGCGGCATCATTTTTCAATATTTGCCTTTATTTTTTTCTTTTACGGGTGTTATTCCTTGAAAGACATCTTATATGCCAAGGTTATAAATTCAGATCCTTGTGTGAACTTAATATGAGTCTGTGTGTTTGCTTTACTTTATATAGCACTACTCTGTAGGGTCTTTGTAACACTGTGCATGCATTCCTTTCCAGGGACCCCCAGTGTTGGAAAAGCAGGAAGAGGACGAGTCTCTCATCCCCATGTTCCTCACAGAACTGACCCTGACTGTGCAATCACTGCTCTTCGAGCCTTCTTTGGAAGACTTTCTGGTGTGTGCTTCTTTTATTTTTGACGATTTCATGCATGAGTATTGTATTTGTTTCCTTTCCATCCCTCCCGGTCCCCCTCCAACTCCTCTATGTCTTTCCAGACCCTCTCAATTTCTTTTCTTCTTTGATTATTATTGTTACACATACATACATTTACAAACTATACATATATATATATACATATATATATATATTGTACTGAGTTCATTTAGTGGTGCTTGTATGATGTACGTGTGTTTAGGGCTTCCCACTTGGGATTAGATAACCTCTCAGGGAGTTAGTCCCTGGAGAAAACTGATTCTCCCTCCCTCCACATCCATTCATTGCCTATAGCTTTTCATCTTGAATTGGGACCCCATGAAATTTTCCCCACCCAACTTAGCATGTCAACTGTTCTTGTTGTTAAGCAGATCTTGTTAGACTACATGCTAAGGGGATTTCATTGGTGCGGCTTTCCTATCCTGTCTGGAATGCACTGACTAGCACCCAGTGCCTTGTCCCTCTTGTATGTGCTTCTTCATCTAATATCTGCAAAGAAGTTCCTTAAAAAAATATGAAGCAACATTTGGAGCTGGAGAGATGGCTCGATGGTTAAGAACACTGGTTGTTCTTGCATAAGACCCAGGTTCGAATCCCAGCACCCACATGGCAGCTGCCAACTGTCCTTGGCTCCAGTTCCAGGGGATTTGATGGCCTCTTCTGACCTCCTCAGGCATTGCACGACATGGGCACACTTACCTACATGCAGGCAATGCACTCATGCACATAAAATTTTAAAAAAATATATGAAGCAACTTCTTCATTGTCAGCTGGTCAGCAAGACTGGGGTTAGCACATTTTCCTTAACTGGGGGCAGACTGGGGCTTTGTGGAGCATGGTCAAGAGGACAGATTCTGTACAAACTTTAGAACTGACTAGAAGCATCCCTATAAGACAAGTATAGGAGATCACCGCTGTAAACATCAGTTTTAAAATCTTTTTCAAAACCATGCTTCCTCTGAGATAATTTTGTTGTTTTGGTTATTTATTGTTCTTTAACAAATTACCACAAATTTATCATCTTTAAAAAATTTTGTTGAGCTTTTGTGCATTTCATACAATAGTTCATACTCAAATTTAGATCCCTCCTCCCCATCGATGCCCTCTCACCCTACCCCCACTGGACCTCATGTATTCCACTGTAATAGAGCACCTTCTTGACCATAGCTATGCCATGTTAAAGTTTAGGGTGACTCTAGTCTCTGAAATTATCAGGCAGGTGGCCCAGGGTATGGGAACACATGTCAGCTGAACACTGGTTGTCTTGGGAACAGGTCAAAGTGTCCTGGAGGGTACCTGCTAACTGCAGATTTATGGCTTCTGTAGGTTATGCTTGGTTTGTTTCTGCAAAATAGTAATTGTTACTTAATAGAATAGAAATTGTTAAGGAGACTCTCCACCTGTAAGCTTGGGGACTTAAGCTTTTCACCCCTGGTTATGGTTTTTCTGTATAAAAGCTTACCCTAGAGATGACCCAGGGCTACACACTTGGGTTCTTGACACCCTTATGTAGTAGCCCTGGCCAGTAATGACTTTCATTTGGCAAAACTTTGTCTGAGTGCTCTTCTCTGGTGAAGCACCCCACAACACCACCATACATGTTAGGTTCCACCTGGTCAAACATTTGTACCCAAATGTCCTTTGGTGCAAGTTCATCCATTGGAGTCTAGTCAGCCTATCTAGAGAACTTAAAGAAGGTCTACTCTCTCTCACTCAGCAGTAATCAGTCACTGACAGTTCCCAGACTAAGGCCTGCCCACTGTCCATTTTCCTCCTCCACTCTGGGCCCTTGTCTGATTGAGTCTTTGATTCTCATGCACAATGCTACCATTGCTGCAAGTTCACATGAGCACACTTCCAGTGACCTGAAAGGCTTTATTTCCCTATGTTCATGGACCAGCCCTGGCTCTTACAGTCTTTCCACCCCCTCTTCCATAATGGTCCCTGAGCCATGGTTGGGCGAGATTTAATATAGGAGTCCTATCCAGGGACACACACTCTGCAGTCTCTTAGTCTCTAAAATTTAGTCAGTTATATATAGCCTTCTGTGTGCATCACATTCTCTTGTATAAGGTGAGAGCTGAGGGATGCACTAGTATTCTCTCCACCTCGTGTTCCACTATGTTCCATGAGCCTTAGGTGTAGACATTCCACTGTAGATATGTCACTTAGGGCTGGGCATCTCTCAGACTTGTATTCTATGTGTGTAACCAGTTGTGGAACTCGGCAATAGTCTCCATCTGTTGCAAAAAGAAGCTTCTTTGATTAGTGGTATATGGTACACTTGTCTGTAAATATAAGGATCCATATTTAGCATATGGTAAGAAATTTCATTTGTCTAGAGATATCACAGAGATAGCGTTTTCTCCAGCCATGTATATTTGGCTATAATTACAGTGCCACCCATGAGTTCCCTCTCATTAAGAGGGTTTTAAGTCCAATTAGACGGCTGTTAATTACCCTTCAGATAATAGTGTCACTACTACACCAATAGAGATAGTTTGCTGTGCCAGTTGTTATGGTTATTAGGCCTTAGGACTGGATTAGACCATTGATTTATATTCTCCCTTAGCAGCTAGCATAGTGTCCTCTAAAACTATCAGAGCTTATCTTCAGGGAGAAGGCTTCCATGTCAGTTACAGCTCCATTCCTCCAAGTCCTGTGTCCAAAGTATGTCCTGTCTTCAGCAGTAAAATTAATCATTTTAAGACAACAACCATGTTTCCTTCCAATTTTGTTTGCGTGTGTACCAGTATGCCTACAGACCTAATTTACCATCTCTCTCTCTCTCTCCTCTCTCTCCTCTTTAACATTATATCATAAGCTTTTGCTCATGACTTCAAATCTTTTTGGAGACATCATTTTGAAAGAGTATAGAATTTTCCGCTGTCTAAATATATCATAACTTATCGATCCAAACTACTATTTTTGAACTTTTAAAGCTTTCTCTAATTATTCTACTTATTATGAGTTATTCCCCAGTGAATATTCTCCCACATGAATCTTTGTTTATATGTCTAATTTTTATTTCAGCTTGTATTTCTAAAATAGAAAGTGTTGTCCAAACACTACTAAACTTTTAACCATCATTTAAATTTCTCCTAAGTTCAGTTTGGCCTTCCTTCTCTTGTAACCCTCTAGTGTTTTGTTCACATTTCGGTAAATATTGCATCACAACACATGGCAATTTTTAAATCTGCTTCTTTTTCAGTTAGAAATATATGTCCTGAAACTAGGTCTGTGTCCTCCAATTTGGCATATTCTCAGAATCAGTACACCTGACCGAGTTACAAAGTTGTTTCCTTTAAAAAAAGAAAAGAAAAAGAAAGATAAAAAAAGGATTTATAACACCAGGCATGGTTATGTATGCCTTTAATCCCAACACTTAGGAGGAAGAATAGGCAGATCTCTGTGCGTTGAAGGCCAGCCTGGTCTACATAGTGAGTTCCAGAACGGCTGGGGCTACAGGGAGACCTTGTCTCAAAAAGAAAAAAAAAAAAAAAAAAAAGATTTATTTTGTCATTTTTAATTTATTTTTTTATTTATCTGTGCTGGTGCTCACAGAGGCCAAAAGAGGATGTCAGATGCCCTACAACTAGAGTTATAGGCAGTTGTGGGCTGCCTGATGTGGGTGCTAGGAACTGAACTTTGGTCCTCTAGAGAATTGCAAGTGCTCTTAATTGAACCATCTTATAGTCCCTGAGTGAGTTATTCTAATTTAACATTTCATAGAATGCAAAAATCTATGTACAAGTGTAATAATCTACGTGTTTACACTTTTCTCCCTAACAGGATGGCATTTCTGGTGCAATTAATCATTTTGAAAACACTGTGTTGTCAGTTCCTAATCTAGTGCCTGACACGTATTTTGATGCTTTCACCAACCCATTTATTAACAACAAGCTTGAAGAGAAGACCTGTGGCCCTGGACCAAGTCTGCCAGCGGTGTTTGAGGATGACAAGAATTTTCTCACAATTATCCTTCAAATAAAGGTATATTGACTTTTGCAGAAACTATACTATTCTCAATTTCTAAGAGATGAAACAATGTGCCTTTTTCCTGTCCTGTCTGTAAATGTTCCATTTGTAGAAATTGGCATGCTCCTTATCTCTAAATGGGAAAGCTTGAAACTAATGTGGGTATCTTAAAAATTATCCTTCTGAGTTAAAAATAACTTTTTAAAAAAGCATTTCCAGCTGGGCGTGGTGGCACACACCTTTAATCCCAGCATTCGGGAGGCAGAGGCAGGCGGATCTCTGTGAGTTCAAGGCCAGCCTGGTCTACATAGTGAGTTCCAGGACAGCTGGGGCTACAGGGAGACACTGTCTCAAAAGACCAAAAAAAAGCATTTCCATATGTGGCAAAGCAGTTACCTATCATTCCCAAGTCATTTTCATGTGTCTCTTTGGAAGCAGTCCTGGTACAAACAGAATAAACAGAGCAAGTTCTCACCAGCCAGCACAATTTTTTTAAATAAAAACTCACAAACTAGATTTGGTATAATAGTGTTCAAGAACAGAAAGCAAACTCAAGCACTCAGCACTAACACAGACATTATAATACAACTCGGGCAGTAAGGCAAGAGGGCATGCAGAGGCCTTGGGCATAGACTAAGGCTTGCAATAGACTGTTTCATTGGCTGTGACCCTTCTGCAGCACAATCTTTTTAATTCAGTAATTATTTTTATTAAAACATGTTATAAGGCATAGCATGGTGGTACACACGTTTAATTCCAGCACTCGTAGGTAGAGGCAAGCAGATCTCTGTGAGATCAAAGCTAACTTGGTCCATATAAATGAGCTCCAGACCAGCTGGGGCTACAAAAAGACCCTGTCTCCCAAAAAAAAATTGATATAATTATCTGAGGTCTATAGATAGTAAATGCAATGCCCCTGTCCATAGCCCTTAAATGCAGATGCTAAGTAAAGCATACTTAAAGACTTTGAAAATAACATGCCACACTAAGTTCTTCAGCTTACATGCCCTGTTTTTAAAACAAAAGCACATTTATAGAACACATTGATAGAAGAGGGGAAAATAGCATGACTTCCGGGTGGTTTCTCACTGGGCTCTTTAGGTAATTGCCCTCCTGAGTGGACAACAGGAACGTGGCCCTCCAGTTAATTCACCTTTTCTCCTACAGCAGCATCTAGATACCATTATAAAATTTGACTACTTGTTAGTCATTGCTATTCATTACTTTCAGCCTTATGGAACTTAAAAATAAGCATGGTAGTGAACATTTCCACCCCTTAGAGTTCTTACAAACAACATAGGGAGCTGGGGAGGTGGTTCAATTGGCAAATTGCCTTCTGTACAAGCATAAGGACCTGAGTTTGGATCCCCACAGCATCCATGTAAAAACTGGATGTGGTGGCACACATCTGTCACCCTAGCTGGGGGCCTTGAAAGACGGAACAGCCAGAACACTGGAGCTTGCGAACCGGTCAGTCTAATCAGTTGGTGAGCTCTAGGTTCAGCGAGAGACCCTGTTTCAAAAAATAAAGTGGAGAGCAATTGAAGAAGACACCTGATATCATCAACTACTGGCCTCTATATGTGTGCACACAAACACAGGCACACGCACACTATACACACACACAAAATAAAGTTTGAAAAAAAATAACATTTTTAGAAAACATATAAATCAAGGCAATAATAGTCAAATTTTTCAATAAACTCATGAGAAGAAACTATGAATCAAGAATCTTTTAGCTAGCCAAGCTATACTCTACCTCAGAAGGAGTTTCATTTAACTAAGGAGTGACTTTGAGGAAAATAAAGATGATGGTTTTCTATTTGTTATGTATTTGTATATGCACGAATGCCTGAAACAAAAGGGTGAGAGGATGTACATAAGTGATGTGTGTTTAATAAGGTAGAAATTATGCAAGTTTCAAAACAGAAAGAGAAAGGAAAGAAGAGGAAAGTAGAATGTATATAGACCAATAATAGGTAAGAAATAATCAGTAAAAACCAAAATCACATCACCAAAGGCTAATAAGGAAACATTATTTAAAGATTATCATCATACAGAGAAACACAGAAATAACCAGAAAACGTGTTTTTAAAACGTGATCAAGTTGAGACCAAGTTAGTAACACAAGGAAATAAGAATGAACTCGATTCACCTATGAAAAGAAAAAGATTTGAGCCTCAGGAGTGGTAGGCACGCCCTCTACCACTGAGCTATGTCCCCAGCCTGCTTTTTTTTTTCCTACTTTGAGACAGAGTCTCACTAAGTTGCCCCGGCTGGCCTAGAATTGACTCTCTAGTCCAGGCAAGTCTTAAACTTTTCATCCTCTTCCCTCAGCACCAGAGTAGCTAGGATTACAGCTCTGTGTCACCAGATCCAGTTAAAAGATTTTCAATTTGGCTAGCAAAGTAAGACAAAACATGCTAACTATTAGAGAGGAAACAAAGTGATTCGGAAAAACTAAACTGTGTGTATGTGTGTTGCCGGGTGCTCAGTGGTGTAGGGACAAAGAAAAACAATGAGAAAACAGAAAGTGCGATCCTGTGAGTGGAAGATCTCCAACACCCACCCTACAGTCCATGATTTGCTATGAGACCTCACAGAAGTCAGCTTGTTGCCGTATTCATGACTGCGATTTATTACAGTGAAAGAATGTAAGCAAGATCAGCCGGACATGGTGGTGCAGTCTTTAATCCCAGCACTCGGGAGGCAGAGGCAGGTACATCTCTGTGAGTTTAAGGCCAGTTTGATCTACAAAGTGAGTTCCAGGCTAGCTGGGGCTACAGGGAGACCCTGACTCAAAAACACACACACAAAAAAAAATATAAATAGATAGATAGATAGATAGATAGATAGATAGATAGATAGATAGATAGAAGATAGATAGATAGATAGATAGATAATAAATAAATAAAAATATAAAAAAGATGTATGTGGTCAATGAAAAAAAGGTTTGTGGAGTAAAGTCCAGGACAAACAGAGCATGAATTCCAGTGTCCTCTCCCAGTAGACACATACAGAGCACCTAATTCCTCCAGCAACAAGTTGTGAGAACCAAGGAAAATACTGTGTAGCTAGGAAGCTCATTAACATCTCAATACCCAAGTTCTTCTTGGAGTTCTGCCACAAAGGCACTATGCCTAGCATGTGCCAAACTTCTAGACTCCCAGAAAGAAAACTGAAGGTCAACATAAACACATCATTTTCATGAGACACTCTTTCCAGACAAGGGATGGTGAAAACCTTCTTGAAATTCGGGTTTTCTGATGCTGAACAAAAGTCTGTTTTGCAAGCTGCTCTTCCAAGGGTAGCAGTTTCAGGCCTACTGGGCTAACCATTTTCTGCATATCTTCATATCAGATAGTTTAAATCAATTAGCATTAAGATAAGAAAGAGAATTAACTGTTTTAAAAGCCACACTTTGTAATGAAAATATAATATTTATAAATATTTATGTAAAAATAGCCCAGGGAACCCTTTTATAAGGTAAAGAGACTCAAACATAAATACAGAGTAAATAAAACTAATGTAAACAGATGATCTTAACACACAATTCTCATTGTAAAGAAGACTAAACAAAGAGACAAAGATATGGATGACCTAGCCAGCATAATGAGAAAGACAAGGGAATAACCATTAAAACAGAAAAAAAAATCAACCTTAAAAGCTATGAGATTACTGTGTAGACTTTTATCAAAATGAGTATGAATTTTTTTTAGATAAATACATTTGCCAAGATTAGACACATCAGGAAGAGGAAGCTCCACCTTACAAAAGAGCAGGGGGAGGGCGGGGGGATCTTATCAAATCTCTGAAGACCATTCCTGACAGGTCTTTCTCCTTCCCTCCTCCCTTAAGAGCTCTTCCTATTTTCACAGCCCCCTTTTAGTTTCATGATATGTCATGAACTAAATATGCATACACACACATATAATAAAATGAAAAAGGGACGATATATCTATCATATATATGCATACATATAATTTTAAGTCTATTATTACAGAGTTCCACAACTAGTCAAACACAAAGAGTGTCTGTGAGATGCCCTGCCCTGACACAGCTACAATGCAACCTTTATACCTAAGGCTCAGGGACGTAGAGGACAGGGTGTAGAGAGAAAATACCAATGTACCTCTCACCTCTCACCAATGAAGCTTCCTCATGCAACAGATGCTGATTAACACAGAAAGCCACAACTGGCCAAAATGTAGAGACTAAGAGACTGCAGAGTGCATGTCCTTGGATAGGACTCCTATATTAAACCTCACACACCTGCAGCTCAGGACCATTGCAGAAGAGGGCGCAGAAAGACTGTGAGAGCCAAGAGTGGTGGATGACCACAAAGAAATCGTTTTCTAGACTTCTGGGATCTTGCTCATATGAACTTCCAACGATGGTGACAGCATGTACAAGACCCATGAAAACTCAAACCAGACAAAAATCCAGCATTGAACTGGGGAATGAGTAAGAAGCCCCAACCTTAGCTGAGGAACTATTGACACTGGTCACTGCTCGGGGAGGGAGAGTTGATCTTCTTTAAGGGAGTGATGCTAGATAGGATGACCAGGCTCCAGTGGATGAACTCACATCGAGAGACATCTGGGGACACAAATTTGACTCATAGGCCTTAACATGTATGATAGAATGTATGAAATCTTGTGGGAGGGGTATGGGGGGAGGTGCAGATAGAGGAGGGGTCTAAATATCATCAAGATGTATTGTATGCACAAAAATTCAATTAAAAATAGGAAAAAAGTCTAGATTCTGCATATGAGAGAAAACATGCAGTATTTATCTTTCAGAGTCTGACTTATTTCACTGGAGGGGGTGGAATTGGATACATGTGACATGGAAGCAGAAGGGGGAATTCTTTGGGGATACAGGGGGACCACTAAGGAGGGTCAGGGGACAAGGAGGTCAGTGGGGGAGAGAACAGAGAAAAAGTGCAACGACGTATAGTATGACAATGCCACAATGAAACCTAGTACTTCATATGCTAATGTAAAAATTTAATTTAAAAAAATCTCTAAGGATCAAGTATTCACAGTGCTACATGAAATGCCCTAGAATATTAAAAATGCTCACAATGGAGAAACAACTCAATTCATAGTAGCAGAAAAGAAGATGACATAAATAGGATAACACAATAAGAAATATTGAAAACATGCACAGCTAGAAAACTGTTAAGATTTTGTTTTATATCTTAGGGAAGACACAAACTAGAATTTAATAAATATTCTTAGATAGGATGGCTCAGCAAAATAAAATGTCCTTTCTCCCTGTAAATCTGAAAAGTTACAAATATATAACAACCAGGAAAACACTGAAAAGAAAAAAAAATCTATGAAAGATAAAATACCAAGTATTAAATATAAAGAGTATGGTACTGTCACATGACTAGATTTCAAACCAGTAGACTAAAATAGGATGCCAAGAAATAAATCCAAGGACATACAGAGACGTATGAAATGAAAAGTACGATATCACAAATCACTGAAATAAATGAGGACTGTCTTAGAGATGGAGTGGGGGCAACTGAGCAGCCACATATCCCACATTGTATGTAAGGATACATGAGTCAGGTAAAAAATATATAAAACATGAGTCAGGCATGTTGGCACAGGCCTTTGATTGCAGAACTCTGGAGGCAGAGGTAGATCTCTGTGAGATCAAGGCCAGCCTGGTTACATAGCGAGTTCCAGCCAATTGGGACTACAGGAAGACCATGTCTCAAAAAAAATTGTATATATGTGTGTGTGTGTGTGTGTGTGTGTGTGTGTGTGTGTGTGTGTATGTGCGTGAAAGTACAAGGGGGCTTTTAGGAAGAGGAAGGGGACTATTGGGATGCAATCTGACCAAATAAATTATATACATGTATGAAAATGTCATCATTATTCCATTATTTTGCACTAAGAACATAGGCTAACAAAATAAGTTCAAGAGATCTGTTGTACATCATAGTGACTGTAGTTAAAATTAATATGGTATTCACTTGAAAATTTCTATAAGGGGGTTGGTTTTTAACTGTTCTCACCACAAAATGTGACAAAATTCATGTTTATTAGCTCAGTTTAGCAAGAATGAAACACATATACATATCAAAATATGTTGCATTCCACATACATGTATGATTTTATGCCAATTTTAAAAACACAACATTCTTCAGTACAATAGAAAAGAATATTTGAATCAGGTATATAGAGGTAAAATAAAATTGTGGCCAGGCATGATGGCACATGCCTTTAATCCCAGCACTTGGGAGGTAGAGGCAAGCAGATCTTTTTGCGTTCGAGGCCAGCCTGGTCTACACAGCAAGTTCCAGGACAGCTGGGGCTACAGGGAGACCCTGTCTCAAAAAGACAAAAAAAAGACATTGTGTAAGTAGTAGGAAAACATGGAGTCAATTCTTCTATAATTTTGTCCATATGAAAAGATTATCTAAAATCCAGATGCACTAATAGAACAAATTGATAAGCTTGTTACATAACTTCTTAACGCAAGATCAAAAATTTCACCAAATGAAAGCACGTTTGCAAACTGGGAGATTCTGTTCATTTCATAACATGGGCTTCCTAATACTGGAAGAACTCTTGTAATGGAAGGAAAAATAGCCAAAGAGAGAAACTTTACCCAGAAATATCAGCCTTACATAAAGAGATAGTCTACCTCTCTCATCAGAGAAATGCAAATTCAAACAAAACGGTAGCATTTTCCAGCCATCAGTTTAGCACAATTAAAAAGTGTGCCAAAAAATTCTGAGGGCTAACCTGGGAAGGCAGACACTCCTAGAATTTGATTCCCAATATAAAACAAGATTACATATGCATTTGCTTTCTGATTTAACAATGCCATTTTTAAGACATATTCTGAAAATATTTTATCAATGATAGAAAAGTACATATGCACTAGGTTATTCTTTGAAACCTTGTTTCTAAACTGCAAAATACTGGAAACTACCAACATACTAGGAGAGGAGACTGGATAAGCTATGTACATCTACAGAGAGGAATAACATGTAGCCAAACACAAGATTCAGGAAGACAGGTATCAGCTACATGGAATGATTTACAAGACACATTGTTAGATGAGAAAGGAAAAAACAAAAGAATTTCTATCATGTGACTTTTTATATCAAAAATAAAGGCAGAGAGGGGGAGATAAACCAGAAACTAAGGAAACTAGTGGGTATTAACTGGAAAAGACAGGTACAATAACTTTTCTGAGACTATATATTAATATGGTTGTAAAAAAGTAAGAATGAAGAGTGATACCCTAAAATAAAATATAAACAAAAACAAATTAACTCGAATAAATTTCAAATGAATAACATAACCACACCGAAGGACAGAGAGAAAAACTAAAGGAGATTTTACTTTGTTATTTTTATTGTTATCATTAGTGATAGAATTGAAATCCAGGATCTTGCATAAACTTTTGAACACAATATTTTGACCATATAACCTTGAGCTAAATATAAGTGTTGTGGTCTCCCTGGTAAGTTTGATTTTTGCACTGAAATCATAGTGCAGGCAAGTCCTAAACTACTCTCTGTGTGTTCTAGAGTTCAGCAAATAAGTAAAATCATATTGTGTAATGAAATTAGATTATTTCACCTCAGAGAGTTGCAAATAGGGAAGAGAGAAGGTTAGAACGAATCTAACGACATTGGACTGAGATTGGAGTCATGAGCTCATGGTTTTTCGTTGCTGGTAGAAAGACAGAGACGTGAGTTTTGTGTATACATGTGATGTATGAACATGGGTTTAGTTATGTTGGACTTATGTTTCTACTTAAGGAAAACAATCTTATTCGCCTACCTGTTTAACATTTAGGAAACAATTCATGCAGCATTTGATTCTGCCTCTACATATGCAGCGACATTTGAAAAGTTTCAGATGTTTTTCAAGGAAAATGAGAGTCTTGATTTGCAGGCTCTTAAGCTTCAGGAACCTGGTGAGTTTTCCAGCTGTCCTTGCTAATCATGTTTGATAGCGATACTGAGGTTTGTTATCTTTTCCATGTCGTGTTTAGTGACAGAAACAGCAGCCTAAAACAGTTGCCCTGACAAAAAGCAGGAGTATATTCATGTCTAGTATTTTCCGTGGAATTACCGTTTATTTTCATTCAACATTCCTGTCTTCAGACTACAGATTTTATAGTCTTTATAGTCTTGTCTCTTTGGGGACTTTTTTCTTTCTTT